TCACCCAGAAATGCCCTGAAGGGGTCAAATCCTAGGGTGTTAAGATTGGGTTTAGGAGGTACAGGTATTCTAAATGGAGAAGTTTGTAGTTGTATTATAACAGGGATATGGTCAGATCCTACGTTTCCACCAGGAGATATACGACAGTGAAAGATGTCACAGTCTCTGTTTGTCAGTACTATATCTGGTGTCCCTGGATGAGGTCCAATGTACGATTTAAAGAATGAGCCTTGAAATGACAAGTTTCTAGCTGTCATGATATTAAATAGTTGTTTTCCTTTTAAGTCACCCAGTGGAATACCAGCTCCACAGTTGAAGAGGGCAGGGTGATGAGCATTAAAATCTCCCGCTAGAATTGTTGGAATATTTCTGCTTAATATCCTATGTAGAGGAATTGACTCTATATATTGTTGTCTCGGGGGAAAATATCCAGTTACTATCACTAGTTGTCCATGAGACGTTGTCATTTCTATTGCAAGAATGTTATCTTCATCAACATGAATATTTTTAAATGTATAGCCTAATTTAACTAAGATGGCTACACCACTAAAGGGTCCTCTCGATTTCTCCACAGTAGAGTAACCACGTAATTTAATATGTTGATCAACTCTTGCAGCTGTCTCGTTCAAGAGTATAACATCGGGATTGTAATTATGTAGTTCAACCTCAAGGAGGTAACGGTTATTAAAGAAATGTTGAACATTAAGTTGGAAAATTGTAATCCCCATTATTTCTTGCACTTCGCTCGTGTACTGCGGTCTGAATGCCTGCAAGTAATGTCATGTTTGTTATCCACACTATCCCTGCTGGACTCGTCAAGGGGAGGAGGGAACTTCTGCGTGGTTGCTTGTGTATTAAAAATGCCATCATCTTCACTAGAGGTGGTAATATTAACAGACTCATTAGAATCGTTAGAGTCCTCATCAGAAAACTGAGGCATGATATTCCCAGTCACAGGAAGCAGAGGCTCGTGAGAGTTAATGGGAGACTGAGGAGGCTCCAAGGGAAAATTAGGTAGGCAAGGTGAGTTACCCTGGGAAAGTTCCTGTTCAACAGGATCAGCTTCAATAGCGGGAGAGTAGGCACCAATTTCTGGGGCATTGTTATGTTCAGGTGTTGACTTATCGGGTTGAGGGGAGTTGACAACCTGGGTATGCAAGGTGGGCGATCCCTGGGCCAGGGATGACTTAGGCTTATTTTTAGATGGAGAGTAGGGTACATACTTCTTGTTATGAGAAGGCTGGGTCATAATAGCCTTCACATTTTCTGGGATAGTGATGGGAGTGATCCCATTAGCCATTAACAGATCATTTAAAACCTGCTTAACGATCACCTCCCAATGCGACCAGTTATGTAAGTGTATTTATGTAAGTGCGTTTGTACGTGTATGTTTGGGGGTCTGAAATGGACTAATCTACTTCACAATATTCCTTATGGGAACAAATTCGGTCAGTACTGGCACCTGAACATACTTCTGGAATGAAAAAATATCGTTATCCGGGGGTCCACTGTATATATTTTTAGCAGCTCGCTGTTTAGTGTTTTTAAGTACAGCTGGGCTCGAATGTGAGTAGACATAAGCAGTGTCATCTGCGAATAGAACTGGCTTAAGGAGATGGGTTGCATTGGGGAGATCACTGATGCAGATGAGAAAGAGGAGTGGGCCTAGGAGACTACCCTTGGGTTACTCCTACAGCTACAGGCTGGATAGCGGAGTTGACTCCATTTGCATATACATACTGGTGTCTGTCATTAAGATAAGATTTTAGGTAATCAAGGGAATGTCCTCTGATGCCATAAAGATTTAGTTTTAGGTGTAGGAGATTGTGGTCGACTGTATCAAATGCTTTTTGTAGGTCAATGAAGAGCCCCAGAGGATATTCATTTTTATTGAGAGCTGTATATATTAGTTCAAGCTTATGTATAATAGCATCATTCATACTTTTTTTGGTTTAAACCTAAACTGGCAGGGGTTAAGTATGTTGTTGGATATAAGATAGGAGTAAAGTCATTTGTGTATTATTTTTTCGAATATTTTGGAAAGTAAGGGCAAGTTTGATATGGGTCTATAGTTGTTCAAGTCAGTTGGATCACCTCCTCTGAGGATCACGGTAACCCCTGCTGTCTTGAGTATAGATGGGAAGGTCGAGGATGCTATAGATTTGTTAAACATTGTTGCAATAATGGGTGACAGCACATGTGCAGCTTCTTTATATATGAATGGTGGCAAGTTATCCAGATCTCCTGCTTTGTTTTTAATGGTTTAATGATGAGTAGAATTAGTTGGAGCTAGATATAGAGTATTTGGGTAGTGGCCAGTGAGGTAGTCTTTTGGCAGGGTATTTGAGGTAGGAATTTTACTTGCTAGCTTTGATCCTACAGTAGAGAAGAAGACATTAAATTTGTTGGCTGTGTCTATAGGCTGTATGTGAGGTTCATCTGGTTTAGTTAAGTTTATCTCTCCGTTTCCAGATGGTTTCCTAGTGCCCAAAATTTTGGAGAGGGTTTGCCAGGTAATTTTCATATCACCTTTCATTTCAACAAATCTATTTTCATAATACATTTGCATTGATTTTTGTATTAGTTTTGTGAGCATTGATTTGCATCATTCAGCCAATTCTTTAGTAATCAGGCCTAATCTGAACTGTTTTTTCAAGTTGGTGCTTTTTATCAATAGATTTGAGGATACTGTTTGTTAGCCATGGGCTGTTTAGTCTGTTTTCTGCGATCTGCTTTATTTTGATTGGAAAGTGTATGTTACAGAGATCAGGGTTTTATGTAAAAAAATTTGGCATCTTTGTCAATATTATTGCTGTCAGCTAGCTCTCTCTGCCAATCAATGTCACCTAGTGCTAATATTAAATTGTTTGCCGATGTCTTGTCATGCAGGCGAAATGAGATCTTTCTCGTTTCTTGAGGCAATTTGCATAAGTTGGTTATGAGAAAGGTGGAGTAGTGGTCTGTAGTGTTGTCTGTGATTATACCTGCTTGTAGTGCAGATATTGTGTTGGTCCAGATATGGTCAAGTAATGAGGCACTTGTCTCAGAGATTCTTGTTGGCTTAGTTATAGAGGGTAGCAACAAGCAGTTGTTCATAGGTAATTTACACTATATATAATTGTATTTATGTGTACCTGTGAGACAGAGACAGTTAGACAGAGACAGAGATAGAGAAATAGAGACAGAGACAGACCATACCCCCGGCCGGGATTGAACCCGCGGTCATAGTCTCAAAACTCCAGCCCGTTGCGTTAGCCACTAGACCAGCTAGCCACAGTAAGATTCATCCAACTAGGTATATTTCTACACCATAGGAAGGTTAGCACAGGCACCACTGTGACCACAAATGCAAGTTTTTACAGACGAATCTCCAGCTAGCGTGGCCGTGACGAACTCTAGCTCAAGTCCCTTCACTGCCGTCAACATGACTCAAGAAACCGTAATGACACGATTTGCAATCGTGTCATTACGATTTCTTGAGTCAGAGACAGACAGCGATATATACAGACAGACAGACGGCCAGCCACCCAATCAACCAGCCACCCAGCCAGCTGACCAGCCAGCAGGCCAGCCAGCCTACTGAACATGCATTACATGTTCCAAAATTGTTTCTTTTTACTTAGGGCATAGGTTATAGGACATTCTGGCAGGATGACACTACCAGTGGTACCAAAATTGAAAGGATGTTGCACAAATGTTGCACATTGATTATTACCGAGGTTTTTGATATTTCTGCGACCACTTGTGGCCATGTCCACCTCAAAGCCACTAAACTCGGGGTCAACATCACTTTCCTCTTAAAAGGGGAGTGTTAATACGACATGACATCAGTGAATTCTTGGTGTTTGCCATGCTGTTTGCTCTAGCTGGTGCTCAATTGAACTGGTGCTCACACAAGGTGCTAAGTGGTCCCAAATTTTTTTAATACTACGCACACTGAGAGTTAAGACCCATTCTATGCTGACCAGGCATCTCAGGCCAATCATGCCAAATTTGGAGGCAGGAAAAATAAAATGTAGATCTACGTTTGGAGCGCTAGTGGTAAGAACATAGATCTATGTTTGGACGGTTAAGGGGTTAAAGCTAAATAATATATTTATCATTTTTCCTTTGTCATTTTTTCACCATATGAATTGATATTTTGTGTATGTTCATGTTGTGCATGTGTATTTGGCTCAATTTTTTTGGTAGAGATAGGTCAAGAGCTATAGGTTTTATAATTATGTTGCTTTCTTGAGCACTTTGCAGTATTCACTGCATGTTAATGGCAGACATGTAGCAGTTTTCCTTACATCACATCCTACCTCACACACTGCAGCATTTAATCATTCTTGCCACTCCTTCCCCACACCATATACCTTGTCATTTAATGCCTTCTACATAAGTGAGAGGTGTGGACAGCATATGTAAAGAGTGTTGTGTCAGACTGATGAGAAGGAAATGGGAGAGAAGGAAACAACTCTGCTGCTGTCTGTCCCTACACATCTGTCACTACAGTCCTCCCACAACATACACTAAACCACATCTATAAGGGGGGTGGTGAGCATATGTAAAGAATTTTATTTTAGATATTATAGGAGAGAGGATGGGTTGATAGGAAATGGCTGTCGAATTAAAAAATGCAATTCAACCAGTTAATAGGTCTGAGGTCATATCAGGTATAACATACAGAATGTATTGTCTTTGTTTTGGTGACCTTTATATTCATAAACTCTGCTAAACAACTTCTACATATTGTTTATTTAATGTACAAATATTATGTATCACTATTAGTTTAAGAGATAAAAGAACACAGCATTAGTCTAATGTTAAAAATGTGTTAAAATTGGTGGAATTCAATGGTCTTAAGAAATATGTATACTGGACCACTTTTTGAGAAGCTATCATGGCCTCTCAACTGCGGATGCCAATTTTAAATAATTTACTGCATAATTATCCAAATGATATTATTCATAACATACTGACAAAAAGTAATGTAAATTCTGCTTCAATTACTGTACCTTATTAGTGTATATCATCCCTGTTTTAATGTTGAATTTCCATTCACATGGACACAATTACTTAAGAGCATTAGTAGTATATACATTATCTCTCAAGGGAGTAATTAAACCAAAAATGCCAATCTGAAACAAAATATAAAAAAAGTCAAGACAAATTCATTCTGGGTGGGGAGAATAATAAAATCTGGGAATGTTTATCTAAACATGGACAGGCAACAAAACCAGATTTTTTCTGGCAAGAGAAACCAGGTCACTGTGAGAATAAGGTAATCAACTGAAAAAATGTTATTTTACAAACAAAATAAAACCACATGTTGTCACTGAGGAAAAGAGGGTGATCAAAACAAGATAAACTTCTTGGAAATAAAAAGCTAAATAAACACAGAAAGCACAAATGTTTACTATACAATAATTTACTGCAAGGAAACCAATTACCATTGAGAGAAAAAAAATTATTACCCTATGGTCTCAAAAACTTAGTACAGTACACAAAAAGTTTATTGCACTCTAAGCATGAGAATGAATAATTTAAAGGGGGACCTAACTTATTATACAGGATAACTGTTCAATATAATCATTATCTGAATGCTTTATTGCAAAATCTGAGCAAACAATTTTGTGGGAATATAACATTCAGCTGATACAGTGCAGGATATACACCAAGAAGGCATTTTGAAATTGCAGGAAGGAAGGTTTTGAAATTTATGGAGTGCTAAGACAAACGTAGCAGGTCATTAAGTACTATTTTTTCAATAAAAAGACTCATACATACAAACACATACTGTACTATACACTCACAAGCTAAAATTAAGCCCTGAAAATTGTGTGCTAACAAGCACATAATTAAAAAATAGCCTCATTCTTTGGTTAAAATATCTTGTGGCAATTAAAAAATATTACACATTTAACATTTAAAATATCTGCTAAATGCACACAATTTAAAAATAAATACCTTTACACCAGGTATTGCTGTGATTATAAAAACAGAAACCAAAATAGCAAACAATGCTGACAAACTGCTGAAATATGGTATGTAGTATATTATATTCTGCTACAAGCTACACAGAGGGCATGATCCTGTACTGCTTATGTGTCCTATGTGTGTCCTATCCTAAATCTATAGAGGATCATCTTTTAGCAATGATTCTTACGGAATGAGGAAAGTCAAACTTTCACTTCCTGCCAAACCCTGTACAGCTTGTTCCTTGTCTATAGGACACACTGGGCCAGCCACTTTTCAAGGATATACATAAGTATGTGGCTCATACGGAAAAAGTTTTTTATGTAAAAGCATGCTCGAAATAAGCAATTCTCACCTCAATATCCATTCACTTCTTACCTGGGACACTGGCATACCCCAGGCACCAACTGAAAAACACATCCTTATCCCAGTTATAGAGCCAGACTGGCCATTCCTGAATCTTTTCAACCATAGAGATGGATCAAAGCATACTATATGAGGAGTAAATAAGGTACTCTGAGTCTGAGCCAACAGTGTACAGTATTTGGACCAACTATGGCCAGCAAATGGGAAGAGAGCAGCAAGGATAATGTATAGCTCCACTGTGAACCCAGAGGATACAGATGGAACGATGGCATAAGGCAACAGACAGTGAGAAAGACACTATGCTTGCAGTGAAAACATCATAATAAAAGTTTCACTGATAAGATAGTATTTTTTTCTCACTACCCAGAGGGCTTACTTGACAACTGGGGACAATAAGTTATATCAGTGGTAATTACAAAGTCCATATGCACCATTGCTCAATTAAATTAGTCAGAGTTATCCATCCTGAGGCCAAGTCTCAGATCAGGACTTCTAAATTTGAAAGGGAATATTACAGGCATAAAATTTATTAAGGTACACACATTTAAGTAAAGGTAAGTGTATACTGAATAAAAATAAAAAAAAAATGAAATTTACCAGTCATATTACATATTCATAAAACAGAAAGAAAAGACCAGCAATCTTGCCAGAATGGAAAATATTTGTCGACTTTATTTTCATGCTCATATAAGAGAACAGTAGTACCTCTTTGAATATCCAGTCTGAAATCCAGGAGGACAGCCCATATGCACTGAATAGAAAAGCATGGAGAGCCTAAGAAAACAGTAGTATAAACTGGGTTGCCAGGTGTGTGCCAGACCTAAAATGGACAATGCAGGTGTAACTCCTCATGGCAGAGGTATAGGGAACCTTGCCTGAATCGACATACAGACTCTTAACATGTGACATATGTTATGTCTCACAGCAATAAATTCCAGGATGGTGAACAAGAGTCCATAAACATAGCAAAGAAGAGTAAGTCAAAAAGTAGACCTGGCAGCCTCACTCATGCCTGGAATGGCATGAGGGCACAAAGGTGGAGCATACTTTACCAGCCTACTTTCAGGTACAAAGAAAAGGAGCATCTTAAGAATGTTCAATACCCACAGTAAATCCATTCCAAATTTCTGCAAATTTAGGGGCCCCATGTCAAGACCCAACTGAGGAACATCCCCAGGAAAGCTACCCACTCTCATAGGGAAGAACCATATTGTTGAGGAGTATATGTGGATTAAGACCTCTAGCCCAAGACAAGTGAAATGTAAGGTGAAAAACTAGTAACTGACAGCAGAGACCCACTCAGCAACATTGTCCACCTCAAAAGGCTGCCCAGCAAGACCTTTTCCTTCTTCAAGATGTTAACATCCATGGGAGCAAACAGTTTTTTTAAAAGATGATCACCTCTGTCCAACACAGAAAAATCCCATCAAACAAGAGGTGCTGTGCACTTAAGTTCACAAGAGGATGAAGGGGCCAGGAAGCTCCTGGAAAAGGATCTCAAGTGCAGAGTAGTCAAAAACCCAATCCAGGAACCAGTTACAAGGAACAAATAGTCAGTTCTATCTGCAGGCACACTCAGGTAGCAACTTCCTGTAGGAGTGAATGCAGAGCCACTGATAGCTAAAACACAGAAAATATATTAAGCGAGCCTGACATCAGGCTTCCCAGAGTCTCACCTACAGACAGAGTAGCCAGAGCTTCATCCAGCCTGGCTTCAGGATCTGGGAGTCTGTCAGAGACCAGCTCCCACCAAGATCCATATCTATGCAAAAAGGGTGGAATACTCAAATCATAACTGGGAATAAGATGAAGGTGAACAAAATCAGAGAGTGAAAACTTACATCAGACTAGTGCAAAAGGCATCTTGTACCAATTACCAAGCCTCACTAAGTTCCACCACCCCCACTACTGCAAACAGCAGTGCTGCCTTTTCCAGGGATCACTCCCTAACCTGCCTGGTGTTTAACCTATTAGAATATCATTCCTAGAAGTAACAGAGCAAGGCTTAGCAAGCCACCTATTTAGCCAGTGCCAACAGTGCAAATATCATTCTGCTAATAATAGGAAAGGGCAAACCAGAAAGAATCCCTAGAGATGCACAACTTCAGCTGCTACACTTAGATCTGCATGTGATTTCCAATAATATTTATGCCAGAAACTGGTCATTTTTCTCTCAGATGGTGCAACAGCCACCACAGCACTGCAACTGATTAAAGCAATGCCTCTGGAGGAAAAATTAAAATAAGAATAGAGTTATTCTTGTCAGTTAAGCCAAAGAAATGCCGAGTTCTTATTCAAGCAAGCTATCATGGGGTAAGGAAAACCCCCAAAGGAATGAAGAAGCCACCCATTCTATCCATTCAAATAAAACCTGCTCAACCCCTAAACGGTCCAAATGTATACATATATACGTTCTCTCGCGTGGTGCCCCAAACATATATATACGTTTTCTTTGTCATTCGTTCAACATTGCCATGATAAGCCTGAGTTGCCTAGACATGAGAGAATGGGTGTGCGCACTCACTGTGTGCCATATTAAAATAATTGGAGATGCCTGGGTACCATATGCTCTTTTTCCTATTAAAAAAAAAAATTCTCAAAAAATTTGGGGCGCTACGCGAGTGAACGTATATATACGTTTGGACTGTTTAGGGGTTAAACTTCACCACCCTGAAAAAGCGGCCCAGTATTAAGCCAGTGCATCAGTCTCCCCCACACTTCTAGATTTTCTGATCATAAGGAAAATAAATTTTCATCACATGCACATAAGAATACTTCACAGCAGTATGAAGCCTACCTTCTCTTTATAATGACACCATATCCTTTCCTTAATTAAATAAATGAATAGACACTGCTTGCCCTCCATGCTTTTGAATACTGTGGTCAATTCCATACAAACATATAAGGTGCCACATTTGTCTTACACAATGCTTTACAGTAATTCACTTATATGGTGATATTAAATGGCACTATTTATCTAAAAAGGTGCTCCAGTATTTAGAATTATCGTTACCCCATCGTATTTCCTTTTAAAGTAATTATTCAAAGACATCGTTAACGTTTATTGACTTTTGCCTTAAAATATAAAATATAACATAACACAAATGCTCAGTAAACAAATACAGGCAGTACCCACTTAATGAAGGATTTGCCAAAAACAGTACTCAGCACTGGTAAAGTGAATCCCTTTTTTCCATAGACTTAAAATAAATAAATTAACCAATAATTATAAAATCATACAATACGTATGTATAAATTACTCTTTAAAATATTATTACTGCATTATGTACTGTATACAGCAGTTGTTCGATTTTCTAAAATGCTGTTTATGGAGAACAGCATCCCTATAAACAATAGGTTCATCTGACTTTTTTTTTTTTTTTTTTTTTTTTTTTTAAGCAGAGAAATTTAGTTCAACAGTTCATACCAAACATTAGTGTATATGACCAAAAAATAGAGAAAAATATAATAGTGTCAACATCTCTCCTACATGTTCATAATTTAAAAACTTCACAATTCTTGACTAAATTATACAAAACAAATAAAAACCCACTATACCTACACCAAAGGACTGCATGTGATACCATGGACTGCATGGGAAAAATAATGAGAAAAATGTGAGCCAGTGTGTGAGGGGGGGGGAAAGGAGAAGTTGGATGAGTGCTATGGGATAAGACTACACCACAGCTGACAATTTCTCACTCCACTAAACTATATCCACCCCTCGAGCATTCATCATGAAAAGCAAAAATTTTAGAGATGAAATCTGAGAGGTTACACATATTTGTTGCAAGGT